AGCTTAGAAGGAGCATTGGTGGTGACCAGCAAAAGCCCACATTGTAGAAGGAGGGAGGGAGGGCCAATTGAACTGAGAAGACTGCCCGTTAGAAGGGCATGCAGAGCAACTACACAAGCAGCTCCGCCCCCCTCAATACCCATATGGGTGGGAATTGACCAGCCAGTCTCTTCCTCCTTCCATGGATGCAAAGAAGGCGCTCCAGTCTAAAGCAACTGCATGAGTTGCAGCCTGGTAGGGCCATATTAGCTAACTTCTGAAAGACTGGTCAGCTAATATGGCAGCTATAGTTCATCTTCCTCTTTCTCCTTGTTAACTTTCATTTTACTTCTGAGGGCAATTCCATGTGCAGTTTTTGATCTAGAATCCTCTAAATCGTCTGAACTTAAAGTTTTAAAAGGACAATCACCCCCTGTATGATTCTGTCCACCCATTAAGAGTCTTCCCAGAGGCTCATCTCAGGATGCCCCTGCTAACAAAGGTTAGGCAGTAGTGACCAGAGATTTAGAGATGATTATATACTTAATATGGTAATGATGATTTGAGTGGGTTGCAAGTAGGACAGTTCCAGTTGCTAAGTGACCATCTGTACACTGGAATAAGTAGATCTCAGTAGATCCAACGACGTGGAATTGGGGAACAGAAACTACTTTATCCTGAGGACTGAATGTAGGACTAGATACTTTCTTCTACTTGATGAGATGACTATGTTTTTTGGAAGAGTTGCATAAAGCCTTACATGCACAACTAATAATTGTGTTATACCAGTCTATCATGACTACCACCCAATATAGATAAGTGCTAAAGATTTACTGTTAACAGTTCCTCAGTACAATTTTCAGAGTTCCCAAGCAAGAACTACTTAGATTGGCTTATGTCTACTGTGGATACACACTCAATTTATTTTATTTTATGTTTATTTTAGCATTTATATCCCGCCCTCCCTGCAAGTTTAACTTCTGTTCTCAACAGAAAAGCTACAGTGAGAAAAGAGCACGACTATGTGCACTTATTTTTAGTAGTATATACTCTAGGGTTGCCATTCCCCTGTTGGGGGGGTACCTCTTGTTTCCAGCTGAATAAACAAAATTGGGGGGGAGGGCCATCTGCATGACATCACTTCTGGGGGGGAAATGGAAGTGGCATCACACCTCTCTAGGAATTGCTGAAAACTGCAGTAAAACCACAGAGTTTTCTGAAATTCCTAGAGACAACTGACATCACTTCTGGGGAAAAACAGGTTTTAC